GTGGAGGGGGCGGCGAGGGCGGGGGCGGCGACGAGGGCCGCCAGCAGCAGCGCGACGGTGAGGGACTGCATGTCGGGCTGCAAGCGGGGAGCGGTGGCGTGAGCGGGGAGGCGGCTCAGGAGCAGCAGCAGCAGCACTTCACTCGCACTTACCTCTCTGGAGAACACTTCGGGGATGAATGTGGGCCCGCAAAGGGCGCGGCCCTTATATAGCCTCCAGCGGGCAGCCTCCCCCTCCACCGGCTGCCACCGGCACACCAGCGGCCCGAGCCGGCCGGACCCACCCGAGGGAAACCCGCCCTGCAACCCTCCGGAGCACGGCGAGTGCGTCATGGTGTCCGTCAGGCTGCCGGGCCCGGGGCCGCGCCCCAGCAACGCAGCGCGCCCCCCGAGAAGCTCAGCTCCGCGGGCCAGGGTGGGCCGGAACAACAGAGCTAAATACAGGTTACATTGACGTCATGACCTCTACAGGGTACTTACATCCCACACATCCCTGTCTCTTCAGTGGTTATACAGGGCTGCATACTCGCACTGCACCGTAAGATGCCTTTGTGAGCCGGGAGGCGCAATGGTCGGAGATGATAAGCAACATAAGCAACCGCTCTTCTCCCCCTGGCCTGGGTAACGCCAGAGGACCCGCCACTAAAATCACGCCCTTCGTAACAATAACACCATCCAAATCACCCCATACCTCTCCATCCAAACGTTCACCCCTTCATCAATAAGCAGATACTTTAAGGTCTACGGGAATTAGCACGCCAGTGTAAACAAAAACAAACGTGAAAATTTTACCCTCTGGTAAGGGAGATTGGGGCACTAACTGTCAGGGGCACATATTTTCAACAGCCTCACACAATAGCAGCCCAAATCACCTGTATACAATAAGCTGTGAAATCGTAAACGCCTTTATTTGTTTGCAAGATGGGGGTAGCGAAATTTTCAGTGGTATGGCATGGCGGCAGCGGTCATCTAAAGACTTATTGACAGTACATTGGAACAAGTAAATTGACTCAGTTTATGATCTGTTGTTGTGATGACGGTTTGAGTGTAATTTTGATTTTTAGGGGCGACATTGTGGCGTTGACCAATCCAGGATGAGCGCCGCTAATGCCTGTTTAGCACTGATTGGTTAACCGCTCAATTTCTCATACCAGTTTCCGGTC